CCGACAGTGTGTCTCCCCCTTCTCCCCAGCAACGCACAACTCATTGCTCTGAGCACCCCCTTCCTTGTCCCTTGGGTTGGGACCCCCCAGTCAAGGCAAAGGGCACTGCTTAGTCCCATTCCTCCTCAGCTACAGTAACAAGACCTAGCAATGTTTTGTGTGTGTGTGTGTGTGTGTGTTGCTCTCACAAATACTGTCAGCAAATACATTCTTAACACTACAGCCAGCAGCCAAAGCAACAATGGCACCATTTATTGTTGTTAACTTCAAATTCCAAAGGAGACAGGCATTACGATATTCCCTTTTATTCTTTTATCCGCTCTCCTATGCTTTTAACCCTTGAGCATTTTTGACATAAAATTGCTTTGAGCTATACAAAACAGATGCCAGAGAATATGCATTAAAACATCCCGCTTAATCATTTCCAGTCCTATGAATTACTTACCTCATCTCCAATCACAAGCTCTTCCCTGGGACTGTGGAAAAGATATTCGTACAGGGTATAATGTTGGAATAAACTGAAAGACAAGGAAGTGGACAAATCTTTTTTTATGGGCATGCAGGGTTCACGTTGCTTCTAAAAAGGGGTTCTTTAACCACACAGCCTAAGACCCAAAAGCCCTGGCTGAGTTTCACAACCCCAAACCTGTTTTTCCTCTCTCATTCACTGTTTTTTTTCCTTTTTTTCTTTTTTTATTCTCTTACATACCATTTTAAGTATAAATTCACATAATTGTTATTCTTCTTTTCATTTGTCACTCTTATACATTTGTTATTTCATTTAATAGGTTATAATATACAGTTTGGGTTGCTTTATTTACCATCCCTTCCGCCTGTTGCAACACCACCTTATTTTCCCTTTCTTTTCTCCCTCCCTCTCTTCTCTTCCTTCCTTCCTCTTCCCCTTTCCCTTCCTTCTTTCATTACCTCTCCCTTACTCCTACTCTTCCTCTTCCCCTTCCTACCCTCTCTCCTTCTCTTTCTCTCCCTTCCATCCTCCTCTCCTCACCTCTTCCTTCCTTCCCTCCTCTTCTTCTCATTCTCTCATCCTCTTTCCTTTTCTTTTTATGTTGTTATAGTTGTCTCTTTCAAATCTCAGTTTATGTTTTCTTGGGATGGTATTTCCACAAACCCAAATATAATTTGGTATCATTTCTTATTCCTTACCTTCGCTAATCTCTCCTAACTATGCCTCCCCCTTTATATCTTGTTCTTGAATATATACTTGTATATTTAATATTTCTTTTCTGCTTTTCCCTTCTCCCCCTCCCCTTTTCCACTTAACAGTGCATCGCCTGGGTTCTGTATCTTCTCCTTACTTTCTTTTCTAGCTTCCTTTCCCTAGCCAATCGTAAAATCCTCCCCATGTCTTGAAGTACACTGATTCATTCACTGTTATAAAATCCTGCAGTAAGGTAATAATCCCCACTAAATGCAGAACTACATTTGCATCAAAATTGTAGAGCTGTGATTTCTGATCTGCTTCACAAAGCTGTTGTGAAGGTGAAAAGCAAGATTCCCCATCCCCTTGGAGGTAAGGAAGGAGAAGAAATGCATTGCAGTGAGAAACTGTGAGAACAAGGAGCAGGGCCATTTGCAAAGTAACTTGGACTTTCTTTGTCAGTCAGGTTTTTTTAAAGAGTTTTATTATTTTTAATTGCAAAAATAAACATTCCATCTTTCCTTATGCAGTGTGCTGTCTGGGTACAAACATCTCTGGGCCACATAGTTCCTCTTTTGTCACATCTTTCACATTCATATTAGCATTCTTTTCCTACGTTTAGTATTATAATATATTGAGCATTTAAATGTTATAAAACTCTCCATTTTTCTTCTTAATATCTTGTAGTAATAATATCATATCAACATTAAACATCATTATTCTCATCATACACATGCCCACAGTTTTCATCTTATTTATATCTCTATCTAAGTGTATTGTCTATTTATGTTTTAGCTCTCATTTCTAAACTCTTTTTTTCCCTCCAACCATTCATAAGAGACTTTCCAAATCATATAATATTCAGCTTGCTCTTTCTCAATTGCTAATGTTAATCTGTTCATTTCTGCACATTCTAATATTTATTTCTTTGTCAGTCTGGTTTTGCTGGCCCTGGTGGATCTGGCTTGATCCCGTCAAGATGGCTTTGGGATTTGCCCGGGGTGATGGTGATGGAGAATGTGTCTGCCAACTGATGACTGCCCTTCTCCCCTCTGAAGCCAAGCTCATCACCCAGCTAAGAAATAAGGTGGCTTGGGCAACACGTGAGCTTCTCTTGGCTTGAACAGATTCTTCTTTTATGTCAGACATGGAATGCACTCGACATGCATTCTGGCTGCTTTTGAGGGAGAGACGTTTGACAGATGTGAACCAAACAAGGCAGGCCTTTTCATATAAACAGCCATGTAAGCATCCGAAAGCAATTAATGCAGACGGACATTCCTCATTGGACTGTTTACTGGAAGAGAATCTCATCAAAGAGGCTGAGGTTGGTGCAGCTGAATGTGGGTGGGTGGGCGGAGGGTAGAGGGACAATTACCTAGCACCTGCCCTGGAAACTGAGCATTTCGCTCTTTTCTCCTTGCAAAAAAAGTAAATAAAAAATCTCCACCAAAACTAAGGGGAGGAAGAAATTGTGAATATTCTTGGGGGGGGGGGGACCCACAAACTCCATCACTGGAAGAAGATCAAGAGATTTTCCTGTCGAGGAATCTGGCTATTTCTTCTAGCAAAGCCCTGCGCTAAGAGCGGAAGAGCCCAGGTGAGCTGAAATGTCCTCTGCATTTTCAAAGCTCCCTGAGGTCGGGAAGCAGATCCTTCTTTATTTCATGTTCTGAAATTGACTTCTGCTCTGAAAATGGGTTGAAAATTCCATAGTCCAGGCTTATTCTTCTGTTTCAAAGCCAATAAACATCTCCATGTCTCAAAGGCAAAGAGCAGGGAAGGGTCTTCACTTCTGTTGATGTCTTCCAGGAAGCATCCAACTCAGGCCATCTAGCTCAGTGTCAAACTCAAGGCCCGGGGGCCGGATCCGGCCCACAAGGTGCTTAGATCCGGCCCACGGGGCTGCCCTGGAAACAGCAAAGGACCAGCCCATG